TCGAACTGTTGCTGAATCTACATGCAGACAAGAGACAATTTGGTGAACTGAAACATCTTAATGACCAGAGAAAAAGAAAGCAAAAACGATTCCTATAATAACGACGAGCGAAATGGGAACCGCCTAAACCGTGAAAACAGGATCGGACACTTTCAATCGAAACAAGTATTTATCCAAGAGATTACTCATTTATTTGTAAAAATGTAAACTATAATTGATCGTCTATGGTTATACACGCACTCACCGACTCTTTATCTTGTGAGTGAGAAAAAGGAAAAGCAGAAGTTACGGTAACGGCTGAAAAGGAAGGAGGAACATTTTCTGAATCGTTGTTATTATTTTTATCTCTGAACTTATGTCCCTTGCAAGTTGACATGAATGTACAAAAAGTATAAAGTGTTTTGGTGATCTGCTTCCCAATCAAAAATACTGACATAACTATTAAAGCAAATGAACGTGATTCTCTTTTGCTTTTGTGTCATTTACCCATTCCTTTTACTGTATTTTCTATTTTTCATTTATTATTTAGATATTATATACTTAAAAATAACTCTATTAAAATTTCCAATAAAAATAAAGAGAATTGGTCTATAACCACCCAGCACTCACTACTCTCTGGTTGGATAGGATTCGGATATACCATGATTAATTTTGTATATTTTTAACTTAATATTTTTAAATTTATATTTAACTATTTAATTTGTCTGATAAGTTGAGTATGAGTTATTTGGATTGTCTAATTGGATTGTTATTATAAATTTACATTAATTCGATTTTATTTAAGTAAAAAGCTTTTATTTTTATTTTGAATAAATAAAATAAATTTTTAATTCAAAAAATAACATTTACGATTTTAATAATTGATTATGATTTTATATAATTTACTATTTAATTTTAGTAAAAAATATTATATCAAAAATAAAATTTATCTCAGATTATATAAATAAAAATAACATATAGTTAAATTTATCTCAGATTTCTTGAATTTCTTTTGGGTATAATTTGGAGGCTATTTCTTCGTGCATTTCCATATTTTCTTTCTGCACCCCATGGTCCAAACTAAATTATCCAAATAACCTTAATTTAAGATCTAGAATTTTCTTGGATCTTGAAATTTAGTTTTGGATTTTTTTCAGATTTTGAAATTCAGTCGTGAGTTTTTCTTGATTTCAAAATTCCAGACTTTTCCAGATTTTAAAATCTAATTTTGGTTTTTCTTGGATTTGAAAATCCAATTCTAAATTTTTAAAATCCAGATTTTAAATTTGGTTTTAGATTTTTAAAATTGGGATTTAGAAATCCAATTCTCGATTTTCTCGATTTTCAAAATTTGATGTTTTAGTTTTCTATATTTTGAAATCAAATTTTTGAAATCTGAATTTTTCTTATTAAGGAATTCAGTTTTGATTTTTCTTCAGCTTTGAAATCCAATTCTGAATTTTCTCAAATTTTTAATTTTGGATTTTAAAATATAATTCTGAATTTTCCTTTATTTCATAATTCGATTTTGAAATTTTATGGATTTTGAAATGCAGTTTTGAATTTTTTTAGATTTTGAAATTTGATTTTAGATTTTTTCAAATTTTGACTGGTTCTGAATTTTTTTGTTGATATTGGATGAAAGAAAACGAGAAGAGGAACCAAGGAGGTCCATGGATGAGGCGCAATTGGAAGGAAAAATACCTTGTATCTAATGAAAAAAATACGATTATTATATGCAAATGGAAAAATTAATTATCAACTTTTTTTTTCTCTAATAAAAGAGATTAAAAATCCCACCATATTAAAAACTACAGTGTAACCAACAGATATAATAAAAAAACATTTACCAAAAACATGTTTCTTTGTTTGAATAGACAATAGAAAGCATTTACCAAAAATACGTTTCTTTGTTTAACTGAATTCTTTTTATCCTTATTTGTTGCTAATTTGGTATGATTCCTTTCTCCAAAACAAGCCTGTTGTATGTAACTTAATGGGCAAAGGAAATATAATTGGACATAATGCATGCCACGCCTACAATATTTGAGTCTAATTAATATAATCTCAATTAGCCAACACATGTTTCAAACTTCAAGGACTACGACGAAATCATAGGGGATTATGCTGGATAAAAGAATCACCAACCCAACCATTACTGGTATCTGCAGCTTTCATTTCTGCATGCCATTTACCTCCAAACACTTGAAGACAAAGAAGTTGCATAGAGATGGAGAGAGAGGAGAATGTTGGTATGTTTGTCCTTGTCATACACAATTGTTTGATCAAAGCATGATCTTATCAACAGAAAATATCATTCCTCCCTTCTAGCTTTTAGCTTTTGTCCCTTTTGCTAAATCCTTCAACTTCACCTTCTCCCAACAAAAGAAAAAGGTCAGTAAAGCATTAGAGTGAAAGATGTAAACGGTAAGATTTTAAGTGTGAATTTAAGTCTCACACCGAATAAAAGTAAAAAAATAAATACAAAATATCTATTAATTCATTATCTAAGATTTTGAATAGAAAGTAAAGTCAATTTTTTACATTAATTCATTATGTAAGGTTTTGAATAGAAAGTAACATCAATTTCTTATATGGTTGGATTCGTATATGGCTTTGGCTGCGACGCAGAGCTGAAAAACAGGGCTTTTGGACATGTTCACGAGCTGACAAACCACCAATCGACTCATTATTCTTCCAAACACTGCCTTCCACATGCTACTTTCACCTTTCTCTTGGACTATTCAGCGAGTCATTTTCTGATTTACCAATGCTCTTGTCTCATTGTAAGAAAGAAAGAAAAAAAGATATGCTTATGCAATACCCCACATAGTCACATTCACTGGTTACAAAATCGGTTATACTGGTCAATCAACATCTTCTTTTTGGATTTTTCAGCTCACTTGCCGATTCTCATTTCTTTTATAATCATTAAGAATTCATTGTGTTACAAAATCCTAACCATGCCATCCCTCTATAAATAGTACAATAAAAACCAATCCATTCCTCCTTAGAGATACTGCAACACAGCGACTCATAATGAGAAGTAAGATCCACGAACCCGCTGCAGTTCGCTCCTCCATTGTTCTGCTACAAGAGAGATTTAGACAGTTGCAGAAAGCGAAAGAAATGAGGAAAAAGAGAGAGTTGCTGAAAATTTTCACTATAGATCCTAAACACTTCAATTCCAACACCACTACGAAGCAGTTTTTCCACCCTGAACTGATGATCCCATCAGGGTCACTTTCCCATGTTTCGCTTTCTCTATGGCCAACTTCACAGTGCATGCTAGAGTACAACAAAAGCACTATTGAGACCCCAGTCTCCAAGAACACCAGCTCCATAGATTCTACACATACACAGTCCCTTCAGGCTTCGTGGAAGAACCTCTATGATTGGGATTCCGGCTCTGACTCTGGTGTTGATACCTCTCTTCACCTGTAACATTAACATATATACACTTGTCTAATAAGTAATATTGTAGCTTCAAATACAACCCTTTCTAATGTAGCTATTACTTAATCAGCACATTATCACTATCTATGACTATGTCTAGCTAGAAGGTTCAACAATTAGGTTTGAAATAACGTGAACTGTCTCTGGAAATTTTTGTGAGTGTTTGAATAGCTATGAAGCTTCTGTCTTGTCTTCTGGGTGGGTTATAGTTTCTTTGATTCGGTCTATGATTATTTGTGTATTCTAATGTAGCTCTATCAACTCAATCTTATTGGAAAGTGGGAAACTGGAAAATTTTTGGCCTAAGGGCTACATGATCATGGACATGGTTGGGGAAACTAGGAGCTGATTATTGTGTGTGTGATACCTTTGGAAAAGTACTGAAGGAACTTGAACAAAAATAGAACAGGTTAAATAAGTATAATAAACACAGACAAAAACATATCACTCTGAATTAGTAAACGGTTTTCATGCATCCAACCAGAGATTATAACAACAGAAGATAACTTCAGATCTGAACCAATCCAAATTGTCTTTTCTGTTTGTTTGTGTGTACTGTTCTGACAAATTCACGGAGTCATACCGAATACACTATCAACATTAATGCCATATCAAGCTAGGATTGGCTGTGCCAGAATTTGCTGCAAAAAAAATGCAGAATTTGGTCCAGAAAATTTCGAAGAAATTCAATCTGCAAAAGAATAAGTAATGAAAAAACATTTTTTTTTCTTTAGGAAAGCATGCTTAAAAAAAGAAACGACATAAAAATTAATCAAGATTTTTAATTTCGACGAAGTTCATGAATTCACTGAGAAACATAAATGGGTTTACCATGATAAGTATTAAAGGTTTGGGCTTTTAAAATGTAATTATTTAAAAAAATGGTTTGAAAATAATTTTAAAAAATATTTAGAAAAACAATTACGAAAACGTGACATGCTTTTTAGTCTCAATTCTTTCTTGACATTTTATTAGTATTATTTCGTATTATCCCATTGATTCCATGGCATTGATCAAAGAATTGGAGCAAACATTTGTCAATAATTTTTTGTGTGATTTGGTAATAACTCCTCTTTTTGGTCACTCTTTGGAGGCATAACCAGATGAAAAGAAATAACTTTTTTATTTGCTATCCCTTTAGGTATCCTGACTTCTGCTTTATGTTCTGAATCTGATAGCTTGCTTGGAAAATTGGTCATCTAGATTCCTCATTGAAAACAAAATATGCATAGAATAGACCTACTGAACTGTTTGTTCTTGCTATCTTAACCGACACTATAATTGTTCAAGATAATTTGTTGGATCCCAAGCCACAGAATTACTGATTCCTTCAAATACTACTGTGATGGTTCTCTCAATTTACTTTCTGCTGCAATTTTCTAACCTTATTCGGCAAGTTATGGCTATTTTTAAAATGATTCGAATACCATATTTGGAATGTCCCTGTCTCACACCTGGATATATAAGAAAAGGAAAATTCCATATGACAAAATCAAAGTGGTTGAGAATTTTTAAAGAAAAGAAAAGTTTCAAGTTACTTGACAAACAAGGAATGGAAGTAGGACCATTCCTAGGTGTGTCGGTTATTGAAGAAAGATAAACTCTGAAATTCTATAAAGAGAGTAGCAAATAGAAATATTTTTCAGCCATTACATGAATCGAAACATGTTTCAAGGATAGCTCATGAAGAACAATGAATTCTCCAATGCTCAAAATTCTAATAGCTCTGCTGCTTTTGACTCTATCTTTTCAAGCATATGGTAAAATCAGCATTACCCTCTTCAGTAGTTCAGCTAATTTTATTGAATTTTGGTTTATTGTATGAGGTAGTGTTATTGAACGAAAACTAAAAGTGGTTGATCTATTTTGTGGTGGAAGCCAAAGTGTTATCGGAATGCTGAGTTATTGGAAAAAATTTCAGGACAGTTTGAGGAATGGTGCATAGCAGATGAGCAGACACCAGATGAGGAGTTACAAAGGGCCATAGATTGGGCTTGTGAAAATGGTGGAGCAGATTGCAGCATGATAAAAGTGAACCAACCATGTTACCTTCCAAATAGCTTGAAGAACCATGCCTCCTATGTCTTCAACAGTTACTATCAGAGGTTCAAGCACAATGGAGGCTCTTGCTATTTCAATTCTGCTGCAATCACCACTGATCTTGACCCAAGTAACATCTCTAAATAATTTCTTATAACACATCTGATAGTTTTACAATTGTTTTCATTAATGCTGTCAAAACAATCCGTGACCCAATCGGGTTCACCACAGGTTTGGGTCTCGGTTGGATTAAAAAAAAATTAAAATTTTGATACAAACTAATTTTGAGTCCAACCCATTACGAATTCGGCTCACTTGAGTTGAACATAATGAGTCAGGTTAACTCGTCCACCCATCTAATTTTTTTACTTGCTTTTGAATTATATTTTGGAGTTTAAGATGATTTTGAATTATATATTTTTTTGAATTGTCTTTAAAATTTAACATCATTTTATATCAAAATTTATTTAAATTTAATTAGAAAAGATTTATTATTTTTATGAAAATAAAAAAAAAACTTGTGTCTGATGAGTCAATCCATTTAATCCATGGATATGTGACGAATCAAGTTGAGTTTAAATTTTTTTGAATCACTAATAAGTAAGTCAAGTTAAATTGAGTTACTAAGTGATCAATTAGTGATATATCGGATCTAAGTTAGACAGGGTGGCTTTTCACACATTAGATTCAATGTTTTATCCTTTAACATTAACAATTAGTCAGACATTAAATCTGATTAGTGATATCTTGTGTTTGTGCAATGGCAGGTAATGGCTCATGCAAGTATGAATTGCTTCCTTGAATAATGTATGAAGTGATTTATTTTCTAAGATCATATTTTGCAGTTAAACTTTGTTGGCAGTAATGGAGTCTGTATGCTTATGTTACATTCTTATTTTTTCCATGGCTTGATGTGAAGCTGAAACAGTGACATGGCTAAATCAAGTACAATTCTTAGTTTTGTTTTTTTCCCTGGATTATAGACTCATCTAATTTCAGATGATTCTTATTTTAAATGTCTGTTTTGATTAAAATTTCAAATTTTAACTAAATAAATTTTCTTCTTCATTTCTGCTTCATTTCTGCATTTAAATGTTATAAGGTGGAGTTAGTAAAACTATTGGCTAAAATAAAGGTAGTGTCTAAATTGTTATAGTCTATTTTCTTTTTATTTAAATAAACTCTAAAAATTTACATTGTTTTTTTTATTCAAACCATGACATTGTTTAGATAAGAATAAGAAAGTTAGTGGCATGGATAAAAATAATCCATATTTATGGATATCGGCTGGTACACTTGTGAGTGATATTAAAAGAATATTTCTAATTGATATCTGCAAATAATTAGTATGAATATTTACTTACTCGTTTATTAATAAGAAAAGTATGAATATTATAGTATTTAACTTGCAGCTATTGTTAATAATTGTTAGTTAATAATTGTTAATAAATTTTATTTAAATATTTTTTAAAATTTAAGTGATCAAAATAAAATTATTAGTGAAAGAAATGTTAAGTATATATTTTTATATTTAGATATATAAAATTGAAATTACTTTGTAGAATATTAGTTTTTCAAAATTTATATTTTGATGCAATTTATTTAAATTTATTATTTAGAAAAATTAAACTTCTAGTTGTATTAATATTTTATTGAGTAATTTGATTTGAATTTTATTTAAAAATTAATTTTTATCTTAATATAAATATTGAAGATTTATTTTTAAATAATTTTATTTGAAATTTTAAAAAAAATATATATAAAAATATTTGCGGTATCTAATATCCATAGATAAAAAAAAAACTAATAAATATTTTTTCACAAATACTCATAAAGTAACATGACGGTTTTTTTTAAATACTATCTATAATCTATTCAACCCGTTTTCATAGCTAATTAAATATTTCTTTTATAACTTGGAACTAATAAATGATAATTAAGAAGCTTTGCATCTTAACTATCACTATACTATTTAGATTAAGTATTTAATGAACTTAACTCATTTTAGTTCACTATCAAATATATTTGAATAATGTTCTCTTACTTATCTGATCCAAAAATCAACCTTTTAAAGATTTGAAATATAATTAGTATTTTTTACAAAGAATTAAAAATTGTATCAATAATAAAATTTTAAAATTAATATAATAATATATTAATTTTAAAAATGAAAAAAAAATATAGTTTTTGAAAATGCTAATTCGATAACACATAATTATGAAGTACTGAATTAAATTTGTTAAAATATTTCTTATCCAAAACTTTCCCAAATAGCAACAAAGCAATCATTGGATTCAAAACGTTATTTTTTTTCAATTTAAAAACCATTATAGAACTATTATCTTTATGTTATTTTTTAAAATTTAATATAATAAATGATGATACGTGTTAGTTTTGTATTAACTTTTGTCTATATATAAACATTTAAAGTAATAATATGACACTTTTGTAGTTATTTATAATGAACTGAACAGTAGACTCCAAACAATTGTATGTAATGGGGAATATAGCATGAAGTTAAGTCACTTTTCCTAGTAATAATTGAATTTTTCAATTTTACATATTCATCTTTCACATAAATTTAAATTTATTAAAATTTACTAATTTTGTAGCCCTTTGCTAATGTGATCTGCTTCCATTTGCAAAAGAAACTACTTTCACTTTAAATTCACTATATCTAATTATATTATCATGAAGAATTAATATTTAATGGCTATACTATTGATTATATCATGCTGATGGATAGCCTTACATAAAAAAAATATATAATATAGGAGCAAAACTTATATTATGCATAGAATAAGACTTTAAATAACTCTCATTCACACATAAACCCTAAATCACCAACCACTTTGAATAGTTTAAGTGTGAGTGGTGATGTGCTTAGTTAGTGGAATGAAGTGCTTGCTTTTCTACTCAGTGCAGTGGGTCATCCTACACACACGCTTTTATCCCCTTTCAAACGTGAAAAATATACTTTAATCGATAATACTTTGACAACATTTTTTTTATAACATTTTAATACCATCTACGTATTATTATTATGTGATTGGTCAAGATTAATGTTTATTATTATTTTATGATTATTATTATTGATTGTAAAATAATTTTAGATCAATCACATAATTACATGTAAATAATGTTAAAATGTTGTTAAAGTATAATTATCCTACTTTAATATATATAAATTTTTTACATTGATTATTTTTTTCTCTTTTTTTTTAATTTTTCACTTGTTTATTTTTCAAAAAAATATAAAAATTTACAATTTTATGATATTTTTTTTAATACTGTAGATTAAATAAATGTAAAATTGTATAACCCTATTATTTTGAAAATAACATTTGGAGTCACATTTTAAAGTGACTAACAATAGCATACCAAATTTGGTGAGATGTGAACTTGTGGACACAAAAAAGCCACAACACAACACATGTCCCACCACAACATAATGTGTCTTTCATCATTCCTTTGCTTCTTCACATTCCCACATTTTCTGCACTCACACTGTTGTTCCTACCATCAAATGAAAGTGATTAACACATTTTGGTTGCCACTTAATCGTGCGAAAAACTTCGTGTTATATACCATATTTTCTTATCGATAATAATACTTTAACAACATATTTTTAATAATATTTTAATATTATTTATGTGTCATTATATGATTGATCCAAAAATATTTCACAGTTAATAATAATAATCATAAACATCAACATGAACCAATCACAACAGAATGATATATAAATAGTGTTAAAATATTGTCAAAAAAATGTTGTCAAAATATCACTATATTTTCCCGAAAAAAGTGTCCAAAAGTGTTCAAACTACTGTATCTGCAAGTAAAACAATAATGATACATTCTCAGATTATTTCTTCACCATATTTTTCTCTTGGATATCTCTTTATTATCATATTATATCACTTACTGTATCCACTACATTTTTCTATTCTCTGTCTCTTACTGTTACTAAGTATTAAGTAGATGTGCAGTGTCCACAAATAATTTATATTTGGGTGTTCACTCACTGCAGGTTTGTTTGTTGAGGCTTAGAAAAAAAGGGACATCATAAAACTGCACCATACGGTTCTTAAATGACCAGAATTAAGGCACTCTTTATCTTGTCAGACACACTATAAAAAATTGAAGAAACTCTAAAAACCACATTTTTTTGCCATTCCGTAATCCTTAAATGCAGAACCAGAAATAACAACAGTGTTCTTATTAACCCCATTTTTGTTTAATGGTTGAGTGGAGTGTCCTTTGTCAATATGTCTTCTCTTCTCTGTTTTCTCAGTTCTAGGCTTTGACCACTTGGCAGCCACGCTTCAATTGCCGTTTCAAGTAGGTTTTCATCGTCACTCGTTAGGAAATTTGTGTTCTATATAAATAATAGTGGAGACCCTCTTGCTGTTCACTTTTGTTTTCTCGTTTCTTCTATTTTGTTTTACGTTACTATTTCTCTTCTTGTACTGGGGTGTTGATCTGAGAGTGAAAAATGAGTTATTTGGGTTTGGGTGTGAGTCCTGGTACTGTTCCAGTCTACCATGGAACAAATCTCAAAGCTTTGGATAGGAAGGTGAGGATAGCAGAGATGGTGCTAAGGGGTGTGAGCCTTGGTCTAGGAGTTCTTGCCATTGTTCTTGTGGTGACTGATTCCCAAGTCAAAGAGTTTTTCTCCTTTCAGAAGAAAGCTAAATTTACAGACATGAAGGCTTTGGTGTAAGCTTTTCCATTCTTTTCTTTCTTTCTTTCTTTCTTTCTTCTTCTACTTGTTTTTCTTCTCTGCTAATTCTAATATTGATTGCCTAAACTTTGCAGGTTCTTGGTAATTGCCAATGGACTAACTGTTGGGTACTCCTTAATCCAAGGATTGCGCTGTGTTGTGAGTATGGTTAGAGGACATGTACTCTTCAGCAAACCCTTAGCTTGGCTCATTTTCTCCGGTGATCAGGTTCCTGTATTTTCACTCTTCTGGCTGCCATAAATAAGTCTGTCATGACCACTGTTTTTCTCTTCTGTCAATTGTGATCCTAATCTAGACGACAATGTTTAGTTGTTGGAGACAAAATTGATTTTACATTAGGCCGAAAAAACTAAAATTACTTTCAAGATAAAAGCATCTAAACATAAATCATTTGATGCAGTATGTTTAATTTTGCAGATTTTATGCAGTAGTTCATAAGGAAAAAAAATATTCTCTTTTCCATGTTAACAAGTAGCAACTCCGAATAGCTATATTTTCTCGTGTTTTTTTTAAGTGTGTAGGGTAGTTCCAGCGTGAAACCTAACATACCCATAAATGTTCCTTAAAACACAGGCTAAATGTGTGTATATCCTCAGCACTCGACCATGGCCAAAAGCCAAAGTATCAGTACTTTTTGGGTTCCTTTTTTTGTATCTAATCGTGACATTTGCCCAAAGGTGAATCAAACCCATGTCGTACGAATACCTTTTGTCTATAAGGAGTTCATCCAAAGTTCTTGAAACTGTTTGATGAAACAGAATGGAGAATGAAATGAAAGGTTGAACCCATATCGATCCACCTGTGACAATTGAATGTCTTGATAGATTCATCCGATCAACTGACTATCTCAACAATTAATTCAGTTCTAAGTATTTACTCCTTACATAGATTCCCGTGTCATAATGTAAGAGTGGGGTCGGGTTGGCTTCATTTTTGTTATATGCAGTTGTTGAGAATTAAAATTGTCTGAAATCGCCTAAGCACTTCTAGGGCCACGCGTTATCATTATGGTAAAACTTGTGTTTGACTTTTCTTCTATTTGTTTTTTTGGGTGGGGACAGACACAGATAGATCTTTCTTAAGGACACATTTTTTTGTTGAATTCTTCCCTCAAAACTCATTACAAGTTTAACTAGAGTA